AAGCTGAGTGAGTGGGAGCCAGCTCACAGTTTTTTAGCCTCCGGCTCACACATTTTTGTCTCAGCTCAGGAAGGAGGGCTCCAGAGCAAACGGATTTATGCAGCAGCCAAGTCGCTCGCTCACAACTTTAATGCCAGTCGCTCACAAAGTGGGATTTTTGCTCAGAGGACTCCATAACTTACAGGGAGCATTGCCCAAGACCCTGAATTGCGGCTGCCAGTCTGAGTAGGCAACACTGATCTTGACGATGGAGGCTCTGATTTTGTATCAAGCAGCGTCAAGCACACGTGCGTCTGTGTGTGAGAGAGCCCTCCTCTCCCGCCCCCCGTTACCTCATTCTCCTGCAGCTTCTGGTAGTCCCGTCCCCAGAGCACCACTCGCCGGTCCCGGCCTCCTCCCGTGACAATGGTCCCGTTCCGCAGGACGCACAGGCCAAAGATGCCTCCCTCGTGGGCACCGGGCACGGCATGGCAAATCCGGTTCCCCCCTGCCAGGCAAAGGACACCGCCATTAAACGGAACGAAAACCTGAGCACCTCCCTGTGTGTTGTGCGTCACTCTAGAATAATCTCTCCCCCACCGTGGAAGCCAAAAGGAGTGGGACCAACTGACAGCGAGGGCCACCAACGGGTGCCCGAGTGCCTGGTCACTGGGCACATGCAACAGCATGCAATTTATTGATGCATCCACTGCATTTGTACCCCATCTTCCTCCCCAGTGGGGCCCTAAAAGCAGCTTGCATCCTTCTCCTATCCTCCATTTTATCCTCACAACAACCCCGTGAGCCAGTTTGGTGTCGTGGTTAAGTGCACGGACTCTAATCTGGGAGAACTGGGTTTGATTCCCCCCTCCTCCACTTGCACCTGCTGGATGACCTTGGGCAATGATAAGAGCTATCCTTGAAAAAGAGCAGTTTCTGTCAGAGCTCTCTCAGCCCCACCTACCCCACAGGGTGTCTGTTGTGGGGAGGGGAAGGGAAAGGAGTCTGTAAGCCGCTCTGAGACTCTGATTGAAGGGCGGGGTATGAATCCAATCTCCTGCTCCTCCAGTGAGGTAGGTTGGGCAGAGAGGGGGCAACTGGCCCAAGGCCACCCAGCAGACCATCCAGGGCAGAGTGGGAATTTGAACCTGGGTCTCCCAGATCCCCACACGACACTCTTAACCACTGCACCGTGCGTGGTCCTCATGACCGCGAATGAAGGGGAAAGAACACGCCGATTCATTCGGTCAACCCCCATCACGGATTCAGCCCTAAAGCCACAAGTCCGGCTGCCCAGCAAGACAGACTCAGCACCTCCTGCCCCGACCCAAATACCTCCCCCGGCCCCTCCTGTCCTCGCCCTCCGCCACGAGCCCCACCTTTCCCCCAGATGTAGAGGTTCCCCCCAGAATCGCCGGTCACCGTGTCTCCGTTCTCCGTGAAAGCCACGCACAGGACGTACTTGGGTTTCTCGTGTTTCTGTGGGGAAATGCGGAGGGGGGGAAGAGATGAGCCCCCAAACCAGGAATGAAGCCCTCACCCCCCCACAAAAAAAGCAGCCCGGTGCTCCATTCACGGGGCGGGGGCAAGAAAACAAGAGTATCCCCCAACCAGTATTCCCTCTAAGCTGAGTGAGTGTGAGCTAGCTCACAGTTTTTTAGCCGCCGGCTCACACATTTCTGCCTTAGCTCGGGAAGGAGGACTCCAGAGCAAGCTAACTTATGCAGCAGCCAAATCGCTTGCTCACAACTTTAATTGCCAGTAGCTCACAAATTAGAATTTTGGCTCGCAGGACTCCACAGCGTAGAGGGAACATTGCAGCCCCAACCAAGCTGCAAGCACGATGACACAAGCGAGAATTCTGAGCCAACCCCTTTAGTCAACACAGCAGAACCAGTTCTCCTGGGTTGTGTGCCTGCAGGGGGGGTGGGGGGAGAGGGAAGATGGACTTTTCGGAGGTGGGGGAAGCGGGAAACACTCCTCTTGCTAACCGATGCATCAAACTGGGAGTGGCAACGGCCGGAACTGCAACGGCACGGCACTGGAATCCTCCACGTGGCGGAGCCGCTGGGCCCAGCCGGGCCGCAAAGGGGACCTCTCTCTGGCTGAGCATCACAGAACATCATCGAGGGACAGACGGCACTGAACGGCTCGATATTCGCATCTGTTCTGTCACATTGGCAAAACGCTTCTGAATCGGAGCACACCCGAAGCTGCCTTTGACTGGATCAGACCTCCTGGGTCCGTCAAGTGTCCGTCTTGCCTACTCCGACCGACAGCCGCTCTCCAGAGTTCCAGGCAGAGAGAGAGGGCGCTCTTTCGGCTGTGCTCCTGCAGAGTGCAGGGGGTCAGACTAGATGACCTGCAGGGTCCCAGTTGCAACTCTAACGCGCTATGATTCTATGAACTCGAGCCTCCAAATGCACTGCACTGGCACTTGTGACCCACGTGACCGACAGGGGGAAAAGGGTCTCTGCGACATTCGGCCTCGACACAAAAACCCATCAACAGGTCTAAGCCCAGGCAGAAGGGGGCTTGCGACGCCTCCCTCGGGGGACAAAGGAGAACCCCCCCCCCCGGGCTCACCTCGAAAATGCCCTGCCTCTTGCTCAAGCTGCTCCCCTCCAATGTCCAGAAGTGGATGTGGGATTTCCCGCAAGTGATCAGCAGCATCGGCTCCGTCGGGTGGAAGGTGGCTGCCAGCACAGACTCGTTGGAGCACTGGCAGAGGAAGGGGAGGAGACGGTATCAACTCGTGGGAGGGCGAAGACAGAGGAAGGAAGGGACGGAGGGGGGGGACTACGCCTCCCTCGGGGGACAAAAGAGAACCCCCCCCCCCGGGCTCACCTCGAAAATGCCCTGCCTCTTGCTCAAGCTGCTCCCCTCCAATGTCCAGAAGTGGATGTGGGATTTCCCGCAAGTGATCAGCAGCATCGGCTCCGTCGGGTGGAAGGTGGCCGCCAGCACAGACTCGTTGGAGCACTGGCGGAGGAAGGGGAGGAGACGGCATCAGATCGTGGGAGGGCGAAGCCGGGTGGGGTGGGGGACGGAGCGGAGAGAGGAAGGAAGGGACGGAGGGGGGGGACTCACCTTAACATCGGCCAGCTTCTGCTCCTTCTGCCAGTCCCAGACAGACAAGACGTGGTCGTTGGAGTCGTCGACCGCGCACAGAAGTCCTCCTCCGTTCTGGGGAGAGGAAAGGAGTCACGGACAGAGGGCAGACGCCTGTCATTAGCGGTTGCCTCTCTTGTGGAAGGATCACAGCCAATCTCTGCACCCGTCGCAGCCACACACACACACGGTCTATAAAGTTCTTGTCATGAAGACTGGCACATAATTTCAGTTTCATTTTTAACAAGATCGGTAGGTTTCTGGTCCTCTTGGCAGCAGAGGGAATCTCACCCCCTTCCCCTCTGGCCGTACCCTTCCGTTATCACCGTCTTTAATATCTCTTGGGAAATCTCCCGGGTGGAAGGAAGAATAAGCCGGTTTTGTAAGAACCTTACGGATGCACAATTGGGTGGCGGAATCCAGGGCTCTTAGTGGCAAAATCTGATTATTATTATTATTTTTTTTAAAAGAGGATTTTAATCAAAAGTGGCATTTGAATTAGGATTGAGTAGTGATGACATTGTGGTCAACAATCTAATCCAGTGTTGATTTGGGGTAATTAATTTAATAGGCCAATTCTAAATGTGTTTAAGAAATGAATTCCACAGAGTTCAGGGAGCAGACCTACAGTACCACACATACTTACCTATGAGTTATCCCATTGAGCAGGGTGGCATTTAGTTCCTAGTAAACGTGCATGGGATTTCACGGAAGCATGCATAGGAAAGAATCTTTTCAAGTCATAATTGCTATGTGTTATTAATTAAAAGGATATAACGAATGGGTATTGAAATGTTTCCTCTCGCAGGGCTCTGATTCTGACTATACCAACACAAGGAACCTTTGGTGGGAAGCTGTCCAGGGCAGCAGGACAAAACTGGGCGGCGGGGGGGGACACCTAAAAACTTGCAGGAGAGCATTCTTTGTTCTAGCGTGTAGGCCCCCCCCCAGCATGTTTCAAGCAATTACCGTATTTTTTGGACCATAAGACTCACTTTTTCTTCCAAAAAAAGTGGGAGGAAAAGTGAGTGCCGGGAAGCTGTCCAGGGCAGCAGGACAAAACTGGGCGGGGGGGGGGAGACCTAAAAACTTGCAGGAGAGCATTCTTTGTTCTAGCGTGTAGGCCCCCAGCATGTTTCAAGTAATTAGTTCTTCATTAGGGGAGCACACAATAACTTTGTTCATCTGTCCCCCGACTTCTCCGAGCTGCTATAAGCTAACTCCGACAACAGTTGGCGATTGTGGCTTTTATCTTCTCTCCGATGAAGATCTAATTGCTAAAAAAAAAACCTGGGATCTACACAGAGGAAAAAACAAAACACCAGAGCTCTGTGTTCCCGTCCTATTTTCTTTTCTTTTTTTAATGTACATTTTTATTAAATGTAATTCAAGCATTACAATCTAAGATAGTAAAACAGTACACGACAGGCATTAAATAACAAGGTATTTAGAATACCATAAAACTCAAAGCATAAACAGCGTAAGAGAGCATATTATTCTATACTAATTCTACTTCTTAAAGAAATGCTAAACCAAATTTCTGTGGAATTACATCTAATTTGTATAACTAAATGTGGTATGCTGTAGACGGTTAATAATATTTTACATCAGTTGCGACTTACAGGTACAACCATTTGTGATATATTTGGTTTGAAGGAAGTTTATCTTGTGTAACCATATAATCTAGCACTGGTGCCCAAATACGTACAAATTTGGAGTAGAGGTGTTGTGTGATCTGTTTATAGAGTCGGTTATCTTGCCCATCCTATGTTCTAACCCTGGACTTGCCTTGAACCCTCCTGAACGTGAACAGATCAGGGCCCGGACCTTGCCCCGAAAGAGACAAACATCCACACTGCAGACATCTCCTAAAATCTATTTTTCTTTCTGAGGGCCTAAGAGAAATTGACTGGGGTGGGTTGGGGGTGAGGGATAGGAAAGGGAGAAGGTCTGTGTGACGTCCTTATTGGGGAGGACTAGTTTCACTTTAAAAGTGTTCTGTATTTTGTTTAACTGGGTAGAATCTGCTGCCACCAGGAAATTTTAAGGATTTCCAAACCTTTATGCTTTTACTTTTGCTTACTGGTTTGGTAGACCGAGTTCAAGGCTCACGAGGAACTATGTGGTCCTGGGAAGTATGTCATTCAGAGCTGGTATAAACTTTGATAAAAGAGGATTTATTGAAACAAATACTAAATAAGAGGGTGGTACAATGTAACTAGTAATGTGTAAATGATGAACAATTGCTTTGGTATCACACACAATCTTCTCCCTCACTGACAGGGATCTTTTCATGTAACTTTGTAACAGAGTTCCCCTAGCTCTTTTTCTACGAAACGACCCCTGCCAGCAGCTCACAAAGTAGAATTTTTGTTCACAAGACTGCACAGCTTAGAGGGAACATTGGACTTGTGTGATCTGTTCATAGAGTCGGTTATCTTGGCCATCCTATGTTCTAACCCTGGACTTGCCTTGAAACCTCCTGAACGTGAACAGATCAGGGCCCGGACCTTGCCCCGAAAGAGACAAACATCCACACTGCAGACATCCCCTAAAATCTATTTTTCTTTCTGAGGGCATAAGGGTTGGGGGTGAGGGATAGGAAAGGGAGGAGGTCTGGCTTACAGATTTGGAGAATCCCACGCAGCTGATGGCTCGATCAAAGGGCCCCGGCCCCAAGACGTGAAGCGTGTTCAGGCTGACGGAGTCCCAGACCCGAACGTGGGGAGGCAGAGGCTGGGGGGGGGGGAGAGAGAAAGGGAAGCAGGTTCTCACCCAGTACACAATTAGCTCACGGGACTCCTTGCCACAGGGTATGTGGTTCCCCCCACAAGCTGAAATGGCTTTAAAAAAATAATCAGTTTCATGGGAAAAGAACCAGGTTGATTCAGCAGCAGCTCAAGAGACCCATACGATTTTGGGATACGAGCTTCTGAAAGTCAAGGTTCCATTCATGAAGGGAGCGCTGGCTCTCCGGAGCCGATAGCCCAGAAATCTTGCAGGTCTGTTAAGATGCTGCCAGATGCCAATCCAGCAGTTTTGCAACAGACCAACACGGCTGCTCTCTGGAACTGTCTCCATGGAAGAAGAAGAGGCCTCTCAACAGCTATTTGCACGAATCGCCCGAAAGAAGCTTCCACGCTCGGGAGCAGTCTAACTGAATACCAGAGGCCAGAGGCAACAGAGATCCCGGGACAGGGAGCCCTTTCACATGGGCATCCAAAGGAGACCGGCTGTCCCCTCTCAGAAACCGGATGCTGGGCCAGACAGACCTTCGGTCTGACCCACTGAAACAGCTCTTCGTCTCCCCGACAGGCTGGGTTTCAGCAGAAGGAATCTCTAAGCCCACAACCCCCCCCCTCCCAGCCTCACAATGGATGCTTTCAGTCTGGCCACGGGACACACACGCACCCTCACCTTGCCATCTTTAGAAGTCCCGGCCACCTGTCCGGTTGCGATGGTGACCATATCAGGATGCACGGCCAGGCTAGGGGAGACAGGAGAAGAGCTTGGGTCCCACGGACTGCTGGGGACTAAAAAAACCCTCCCCCCAAAAAGCCAGCCATGTCCTTATTTGTTTCCCGAGATGGGACCCCAAACCAAGCAAGACCTTCTCTCCCTCTGTTCGCTCTGCACCCTCGGCCTCCCTGCCCTGCTGTTGGCCCTCCAGAGGGACTGGTTGGCCACTGCATGAGAAAAGGATGCTGGACTAGGTCAACCCTCCCTGGTCTGTCCCAGCAGGGCTCTTCTGATGTTCTTATGAAGGCCTCGGCCTCAGCCTCTCTGCCCTGTTGTTGGCCCTCCAGAGGGACTGGCTGGCCACTGCGTGAGAAAAGGATGCTGGACTAGGTCAACCCTCCCTGGTCTGTCCCAGCAGGGCTCTTCTGATGTTCTTATGAAGGCCTCGGCCTCAGCCTCTCTGCCCTGTTGTTGGCCCTCCAGAGGAACTGGTTGGCCACTGTGTGATGCAGGGTGCTGGACTAGGTGTACCCTCCCTGGTCTGATCCAGCAGGGCTCTTCTGAGGTTCTTATTTGGGGAAGGCCTCGGCCTCCATGCCCTGTTGCTGGCCCTCCAGAGGAACTGGCTGGCCACTGTGTGAGACAGGAGGCTGAACTAGATTGACCCTCACTGGTTTGACCCGGCAGGGCTCTTCTGATGTTCTTCTCAGGGGAAGGCCTCAGCCTCTCTGCCCTGTTGGCCCTCCAGAGGAACTGGCTGGCCCCTGTGTGAGACGGGATGCTGGACTGGATGGACCCTCGCTGGTCTGACCCAGCAGGGCTCTTCTGATGCTCTTCTCAGGGGAAGTCCTCGACCTCCATGCCCTGCTGTCGGCCATCCAGAGGAACTGGCTGACCCCAGTGTGAGGCAGAATGTGGGACTAGATGGACCTCTGTTCTGATCCAGCAGGGCTCTTCTGAGGTTCTTTCCCCTATTGTGCAGGTGTGTGTAGAGGCCACACCTCTGCAAACAGGTTGCCTTTCCCTCTGTCTCCTATGCAGCAGTCCATATACATGCAGTAATGCCGTCGCGCCCACGCCCTTCTTACCACTTGATGTCATCCGTGTGGCCCAGGTAATGGCGCTGGCGCTGCTCTTCCACGTTGTAGAGGACGGCCACGGCAGCCACGAAGTACGCGATCTCTCCCGTAGGCAGCAGAAACAGGTTGGACCGGCAGTCGCGCCCCCGATACCCATAGCTGTGGTGTGCAACTTTGGGTCAAGGGAGAAAAACAAGGATGGGCTGAGAGAGTCCTGGCACCAGTTCTGAGGCCAAGGAAGAGAGAACCCGGGGGGGTGCGGTCCAGGCCTGGAAAGTTTGGAATTCCAACATGGGGGGGGGGGGCCGCTAGAGGTGAAGCCAATCACCAAATGGCTGTCAAGGCAGCAGGGGCGGCCACAGAATGCCCGGGAGTGGGGTCACGCACACTTCCGACAGTAACTCTCCAATATCCCTGGCAGAAGCTCCATTTAACAGGGTGCCTTTCAATTTGCATGGCCAATCGGAAGCCCTGCTGGGTACTAGCCAAGCCTGGCTCCGCCCAGTTTCCAAAAATAATTGGGAGGGGGCAAGGAGAGGTGTTGGTGGGCACTGGGGCACCATGGGGGAAGGGCCGTGGCTCAGTGGCAGAGCATCTTGCTTGGCATGCAGAAGGTCCCAGGTTCAATCCCCAGCATCCCCAGTTGAAAAGGACCAGGCAGGAGGTGACTGGAAAGACCTCCGCTTGAGACCCTGAAGAGCTGCAAAGAGGGGCCGTGGCTCAGTGGCAGAGCCTCTGCTTGGCATGCAGAAGGCCCCAGGTTCAATCCCCAACAGCATCTCCAGTTAAAAAGGACCAGGTAGGAGGGGATGGGAGAGACCTCTCTGCCTGAGACCCTGGAGAGCTGTAAAGAGGGGCCGTGGCTCAGTGGCAGAGCCTCTGCTTGGCATACGGAAGGTCCCAGGTTCAATCCCCAAGAGCACCTCCACTTAAAAAGGACCAGGCAGGAGGTGATGGGAAAGACCTTAGCCTCTGATCCTGCAGAGCCGCTGCCAGTCTGAGTAGTCAATACTGACTTTGATGGACCCAGAGTCTGATTCCGTGTAAGGCAGCTTCACATCATCGTGTTGGGGGACCCTGGGCCTGGGCTGCCTGGCCGAAAGCCCCAGGTGTTCAGGGCGGAAGTGGACTTTCTTTGCCTGAGACCCCGGGCAGCCTTGGCCAGTCAGAGGAGACAGGAGCGAGCGAGGCGGGCCCAGGGCCCAGCCCGGCAGAGAGCAGCTGTGTGCTGGTGGGCACCGGGGCACCATGTCGGGGACCCCGGGCCTGGGCTGCGTGGCCGAAAGCCCCAGGTGCTCAGGGCGGAAGTGGACTTTCTTTGCCTGAGACCCCGGGCAGCCTTGGCCAGTCAGAGGAGACAGGAGCGAGCGAGGCGGGCCCAGGGCCCAGCCCGGCAGAGAGCAGCTGTGTACCCGTGTCTCCCCCACCCCACCCCACCCCCCTGTCGGATCTCAGCAAGCCCCTTTGGGGCAGGATACACCCAGTTCAGCTTCAGCTTCTTATGGGGCAAGTCCAGCTTGGCGTCTAGGCTGTAGGTGGCAACGACGGCGTCGGGGACGAACATCGGGACGGGCCGTCCCCGTAAGAACATCTTCACGTAACCATCCTCTGCATCCGGGGGGGGGGAGAGGGAGATATAAGCGAGAGAAGGGGAGAGGCAATCCCAATGTCCTGCGATTCTCGCCAACGGTCCTCCAGGCTCCCAGATGACGACCCTCCCCTCCTTCCCGACCCTCTCATCCCCCCCAGCGGAGGCCGGCAGACGATCATCCACCTGTGGCGAGTACAAGACTCGGACAGGCGATCAAACGCGGAGCCCCTCTGCAAAGCTCACTTGTGCAACCTAGAAAACAAAGATCCCAAAGTCCTGCGATTCCCGCCAACGGTCCTCCAGGCTCCCAGACGACGTCCCTCCCCTCCTTCCCGACCCCCTCATCCCCCCAGCGGAGGCCGGCAGACGATCATCCACCTGTGGCGAGTACAAGACTCGGACAGGCGATCAAACGCGGAGCCCCTCTGCAAAGCTCACTTGTGCAACCTAGAAAACAAACGGGGAAGGCCTTCACGGCCGTGAGGCTAAAAAACTGTGAGCTAGCTCACACTAACTCAGCTTAGAGGGAACACTGCTTGTTGCCCCAGGTCAGGCGCGTGCACATACTCGCAGACAGACTCCTGCCACTCGAATTGCACCCAGCTCCCATCCTGGGGCTCCTTCCCTGAATCTCGTTCCCTGCCCGCAACCTAAAGCCAGGAGGGGTGCTGGCCCCCAACTCACCAGCGTTGAAGGAGGCTTCCTTGGGTTTGCTGCATGAGAGAGAAAGACAGAGGGATTACTGTAAGAGGGGGAGGGGGAAAGAGGGGAGGGGGGGAGAGAGACGAGGAGGAGGGGACCCTCTCCACACAACACCGCTCCCCCCTCCCTGCACCCATCACACTTTTTTGGCAAAGGGTCCGTTGGCTCAAAAAATGATGGTCACAGAACAGACCGAAAATAGGGAAGGAACTCTGAAGTAACTGCACCAGAAAATATTTAAATAACAATCACAAAATTCTCATACGAAACTTGTGTACAAAAAATCTGCCTATATAAATGCATAAAGGCAGCGGGAAATGGTGAAATTGACGATGATCTCTGGAATGTTCTACCGTTTCAATACTCTTCTTCCGAATGTGGATGAAAGCAGCGATTCTTGGTCTGTTATTTCAACAGGTCCGTATAAACAATTTCATTCGTGAATTTCACTGATGTATCATAAGATAGTTGCAAGAGATTCTCTGAAAGAACGTTCCTAGGGCAAAGTGCTTGCATTTATATATGCAGATTTTTGTACACATTTTTTGTATGAGAATTTGGTGATTGTTATTTAAATATTTTCTAGTGCAGTTACTTCACAATAAAGAGTCCATGGGGACAGCTAGTGAAATCCTGCAACACCCAAATACGCACGGAAACCAGTCCTCAGCCCGCAAGGCATCTTGGAGGAACAGACAGGCCAGAGGAACTGATCTCCGGGCCAGTAAGCGTCACTTGGCAAATGTGGGATGTGTGGGTCAGGCTAGGTCCCCCCCGTCCCCCCCTGCCACGGGGGCAAGCCCATCGCACGCCTGCCCTGGCTAGCAAATGCAGCCTGGTGGAAAGGGAAACTGTGCCGTGGCGTCCTTGGCCCCAGGAAACCACGTTCGGCTTGCGGTCAAAGTATTTCGATCTGATCTAACTTATATAATTATCCCAGCAATTGACTGACTCGGCTGACGATAATGTCACACCGAGCCCAGAGGATGGAGAATCCTCTGTGGCGGAGTTCGAGGCGTGGCTGTTGGCCACGGGAGGCGCTCGGCGGTGTTCAGAGAAACCCCGGTTCTTTATAACTTCCAAGCCCTTGGGATAAGCCAGGGGAAAACAGCATCCCAAAGGAATAAGGAGGGGATTCGCCAGGGTCAAAGGCAATATTCCCTGTAAGCCATGGAGTCTTGTGAGCAAATATTCTGCTTTGTGAGCTACGGGCATTGAAGTTATGAGCGAGCGATCTGGCTGCTGCAGAAATTAGTTTGCTCTGGAGCCATCCTTTCTGAGATAAGAAAGAGGAGGAGGCTAAGAAACTGTGAGCTAGCGCACGCTAATTCAGCTTAGAGGGAACACTGGTCAAAGGTCCACTGAGTTCAGCACACACACACCCTTCTCCAGAGGGCTAGCCAGAAGCCACGGGAGGGGAGAGCTGTGGGCATTCGTACTTCTCTGTACCCTTCCCTGAAAGATCAGCTTTCTGATCAAAAGCAAAAGGCCTTTTGGCCTTCGGTGTTGTGTGACACAGGAGACAAATCCAGGTGGGTCGCCGAGGTGTTGGTCTGAAGCAGAGGAACAAATCTAGAGTCCAGTGGCCCCTTTGAGACCAACAAAAGTTTATTCAAAGTTGTCGAAGTTTATTCAGACCTGGCATAAAACTTTGTTGGTCTTAAAGGGGCCACTGGACTCTAGATTTGTTAGACGGGAGGAAAAGTCTGCGGGCGGCGTTCCAACCAATCCCCAGGAAGACACAGCCACAAACCCCCCTCCTGCCTGAGGGCAAAGGCACTGGCATGACGGGCGGTGGCACAGAGCGGAAGATGCCAAGGTCTGTGGCCGCCATCTCCAGGTGGGTGCTGGAGGCGCGCGCCTCCCCCGATTGGTGTCCCCTGCTTCTCCGATTCTTTACTAGCCGCATTTCTTACTTACGGAGCGCAAGGCGGCTAACGGTATCAATAAAATACAGAAAACGGAGTATGTGAAAATACACGAAACCCCCAAATTCAAAAACCACAAGGCTCTTTTAATCAAATGCAGCCCTAAAGAAAACCATCTTCAGCCTCCCTCCTGAAGGTAGAAGGGGGGGGGCTGGGTGCACCTCCCTGGGGATGATGAACACACAAGGCTGCCAGTCAAGTCGGGGAGGCGACAAAAACGAAGGTTGTCTTCTTGTTGGGCAATTGGCCCAGCAGCTCTCCGGCTTTCTGGAAGCCGACCAACGTTCCCTCTAAGCTGTGGAGTCTCATCAGCAAAAATTCTACTTGGTGAGCTACGGGCATTAAAGTCATGAGCGAGCGATTTGGTTGCTGCATAAATGAGTTTGTTCTGGAGCCCTCCTTCCTGAGCTCAGACAAAAAATGTGTGAGCCAGAGGCTAAAAAACTGTGAGCTGGCTCACACTAACTCAGCTTAGAGGGAATACTGGTTGCAACCAAGGCTCCCTCTAAGCAGTAAAGTCTTGTGAGCAAAAAGTCTTCTTTGTGAGCTGCTGGCATTAAAGTTGCGAGCAAGCCTTTTGGCTGCTGCAGAAATTCGTTTGCTCTGGAGCCCTCCTTCCTGAGCTAAGACAGAAATGTGTGAGCCGGAGGCTAAAAACCTGTGAGCTAGCTCACACTCACTGCGCTTAGAGGGAACACTGGTTGCCACCAATGCTTCCTCTAAGCTGTGGAGTCTTGTGAGCAAAAATTCTACTTTGTGAGCTCCAGGCATTAAAATTGGGCGCAAGCGATTTGGCTGCTGCATAACTTGGTTTGCTCCGGAGCCCTCCTCCCCGAGCTCAGGCAAAAATGTGAGACCCGGAGGCTAAAAAACGGTGAGCTGGCCCACACTCACTCAGCTTAGAGGGAGCACTGCTGGGGCCTCTACCTCTGGGTCCGGCTGGCCCTGCCTGTGGCGGTCAAGAAGCCAGTTGCGATGCAAATCTGGCTTCCATCTGAACATGTCGTGCTTCCCCTCTGATTGGTCCTCCAGATGCCTACAAGTCAGATGCCCGGCGCATTGTCTTTTGGACGCCCTGCCCTGCGGACGGCACTGATGTCTTCTACGCTCTCTGCCCTGACTCCAAGTGAGAAAGTTGGACTACAAGTAAGGTAAATCAAGGAATAAAGCAGCTCAGCTGCTAGAAAGGGGCCCCTCCGCAAAGCAGCTGCAGAGACTTATTTGGATGGAAAGTCTGGGCGTCCCTGGAGACAAGGCTCCTGGGGCGGGCGGCCCATCGGCGGCTTTTTATCTTTGCGCGCCCACAGTAACTCCTGGCAACCGCTGGCTCTCCTGCAAAGAAGACGACGCCCTCCCTCGGGGCCCAGGAGACCGCCCGGCCTCCCGCTTTGTTTATGCCAGGCTCTTGCAGACTTCCGGGGAGCCCTCCAGTGCCAGCCTGGCACCCACCCACAACCCGTGGCGTTCCCCCCCCTTGCCAGGAAGAGAGGCCTGCAAGCCCTCCCCCCTCCGTCTGTCGCCTTAAACTCCCGCCTGCCTCTCCTTGGCAGCCGGAGGAGTCGTCTGCGTCTCCCATTCCCCTCTGCCCCTTCCTGGGAGCCGGGCACAGAGGGAAGGGCGCTGGGTGGGGCAAGGAGACGCTCCAGTCGGTCTTCACACCCCCCCCCCACAAAACAGGCTGTCCAGCAGCC